GTTATTGATGGGAAGTGGCAGGTATCCCGTGGAATTAGTCGAGGTGAGCAAAAGCTAGCCCGGACACCACGATCATCAAAATAAAAAAAGTTTGTTACCTATAGCTATCTTTTAGGTGACCTGATTGTGTATTATGTATGACAAGTCTTACTTAGTTGGCGTTTGAACACCGTTTTCTGCTTCTATAAAGCTTGAGATACTGGTTAATTTAGTTCAAGAAGGTTTTAGACTTGTATTCGTTTTGTTTAGACTTGTTGAATAAATGTTACTCGAAAAGTTATAGGCTAACAGTAACCACATTAACAGGGACAAGTGCCACTTATATCCATCCATGGTTTGCATCAGCTGCACATTTTCATATTCTTTTTAGCCGTCTTCCACGTTATTTACAGTGCCATAACAATGCTTCTTGGAAGATTAAAGGTGAATTTTTTTCAGCATTTTCAGTGTGACAAGCACAAAAGTTTAACCAATCAAGATAAATTACAGTACTTCTGCGCGGCTAGAAGTGATCATTCTATTTCTTATATGCAGATTCGTGAGTGGAAGGAGTGGGAAAGGCAAGTTGAGCATGAGTATGAAGCATCCAATGGTATGATGTGAAATCCTCATGATTTAATTCATTTTGCTTTGTTTTTGGCCTAATTTTACGCAGGCACGAGATAGTTTATGAGGTAATTTATAGTCAGGAAAGTCTAATCTTGAAATACTATAGGAGTATGTTTGGACTTTGGTGTGACTTTTAGGATATCTATGTGATTTAAGTGTGTGCGTTCAGTGAGTTGAGAAACCCGATATGAGATGGATATTTTGGCTGTGTGGGAATTAGTGGAACAGGGATTAGAGAAACCCGATATGTTGGCAAAGAAAAGGAAAAAGAAACAACGGGCCTCACTCTCATCCATCAAGATTTGGATGATACTATGTTTAAGAAGGTGGTCACTGCAACGAGGTCTTGCAAAATTCTCTCTAATGAGTAGACAAGGTCAAGAAGGTAAGGTTTCAATCCTCAAGGGGTAGGTATTTTGGAGCTTTAAAAATGAGAGAATTCAAATGAAATTTGGATTATTGTTCAAGGGTGAAGGCCTTGTGAATAAATTGAAGAGATATGGTTCAGATAAAGTAAAAGACGTTCATGAAGATCCTTCGTTCCTTGAAAAGAGCAACTTATAAGGATGAATGAGGTGAAAAGATCCATAGAAAAAGGAATGAGGAAGAGGAAGATGCAATTGTAACAATCCAGCAATGAAGAGAAAAACCAATAATTATCAAAATGTCGTGGTTATTAACGGAAGAGGAAGAAGTCATAGTTACTAGTGTAAAGATGTGACACCTGGACGTAACTTAACCCAAAAGTTAGATCATGGGGAGAGAATTTCTCAAGTTCAGTTAATCAGTTCATTCCCCAATCAATCTGTACTCTAACACTCCTTCATGCCAGGCTCACCTGAAGTGTGGACCATGAGTCCAAATGAGGATAGACCTGGCTCTCATACCATGTAAAAATACGGTACCTGAGCTTAACTCAACCTTCAAAACTAGATCACGAGGGGAGGGTTGCCAAAGTCCTTAATCTTGAAATTTTGTAACTATTAGGTGCATGTTTGGTTCTATCCATGTGACTCTTCGGCTCTTGTCTTACGATATGAAGTTCATATTGTAAAACGAGTTTTTATATATTTCACATTAAATTAAGAGGCATTTAATGTATATTTCTTATATGAAATTTCTATGCAGATGCCTCAAGATTCAGGCTTACCAAAGAGACATCTTTTGTTAGGGATAATACAAGTTTTGGAACCACCCCGGTCGTTTTCTACAGTGTAAGAAAAAATTAAAGCATCTGTCTTCTGCTTTTATTTGCATATTTTTAAATATTTTGGGATGAATGGATGAATGGATGAATGGGGGCTTTGATGGGTTTGCCTGTGATATTGAGCCTGTTGTTTTTCAATTTAAAGCTTTAGTGAGTTTTGTTATATAACAAATTTGATATGATTTTCACATTCTTCTAGGCATCCTCGCCATAAGCACGAAAATCACATTTGTGTGTTCCAGTTGAAAGATTACCATCTCCTAAGGAAAATTTGACCCTACTTTTGTGGGGTAAAGACTAGAGAGGTTGTGTCCGATAGACCCTGGAAATTAGGGGGGAATTAGTTGGTAATATAGTAATATAACATGGAATGTAACAAGTGAAATGTTGTATTACAACCATTTTTGTTTCTTCTTTTCTAACTAGTTCCCCAAAATATCCAGGTGTGCTTTTTTAGGCAATTTTTCAGGTCAGTTAGGAAAGCTGACTACTTGACCATGCGCCACGGTTTCATCTCGGTGAGGTTCACAAATTGAAGGCTTCAAATCAAATTATGTCTCTTGTAGGACAGAAAAAGATATTTACTTCTTTTTGTTTATTGTTTTCCTCTTGTTGCAGGTCCATTTAGCACCTGGAAGTAAGTTTAATTTTCAGAAGTACATAAAAAGATCCTTGGAAGATGATTTCAAGGTTATTGTGGGAATCAAGTACGTATCTTTCGACTAAAACTGAAACAAACTATTCAATCTTCTCAGGTTTTGATCATGTGCTACATTTTACTAGCTAGAGGTATCTAATTATTTATCATCGTCGTTGTTATACATTTGCAGTTCTTTGCTATGGTTTTCTGCAGTTGTTTACCTTCTGTTGAATGTCCACGGTATTGTTAACGACCTTGATTGTTTCTTTTTAAGACATATTATCTCTAATTGTAAAAAAAAAGACTAGCTCTAACTACCAATACAAATACTGTCCTTTCAGGATGGCAAGCTATGTTTTGGTTGTCCATAATGCCTCTAGTTGTAAGAATTTCATTTACTTGATTTCCATTTCATTCATTCCGTTAAAGTTTTGAAGAAAGAACTAACCACTGGATTGGATAAAGATAATCTTAGCAGTCGGCACAAAACTTCAAGCAATTATAGCTCAGATGGCTCTTGAAATTCAAGAAAGACATGCTGTAGTCCAAGGCATACCTCTCGTTCAAATTTCAGATAGAAATTTTTGGTTTGGCAAGCCCACCTTAGTTCTTCATCTTGTCCATCTCACCCTCTTTCAGGTACTCATTTCTTGCTTTCTCCGCCTCTTAGGCTCTCACACACGTCCCCTGTATGTTCATATTAGAAAAATAATAATGAGTTTAAGGGTATGTATGTTTTATGCGAAAACAAGTGTTTGGTTAGTAAGCAAAAAAATATTATCCCAGAAACATTTATATATGGAGGGTGGGGGTGGGATGTGTTGGAAGGCATAGAGTAGACAATCGATATGGAACTTGTTTGAACTTGGAAGCAAATATTAAGCCTAAAATCGTTACCTTTATGTGATGCAGAATGCTTTCGAGATCACTTATTTCCTTTGGATAACAGTAAGTAAACTTTCTCAATTATTCTTTTCAATTCCTTCATATCTACTAGTACTCTGTTTAACATGATGACATGTAATGTTCTGCAGTATGAATTCGGGCTTCATTCCTGTTTTCACGATAACTTTTACCTCTCCTTATTGAGAGTTGCTATCGGGTAATTGAACAAATACTTACCTTCAGTGCGTTCAAGTGTGATAACCATACTCTCAATTTATCTGATGAAAAGGATGCTTTGTCAGGTTAGGTGTTCAGATTTTATGCAGCTACATTACACTGCCACTGTACGCACTTGTTACCCAGGTAACTCTTTTTCCCTTATGTTGCAGATTGATTATGATTAGCTAACAAAACTAGTTTCATGGATTTTCTACCACTAGATAACTCTCTGTGATCATACATGAAATTAACTCGTGATTTGACATAATGGAGGCTAATGAATGGTTTGGATACATCCCATGCTAGAAGTACAATGACTACATGTTCAACTGATTTGTTTTCATTCATTTCGACATTCTAGATGGGATCAACCATGAAGAGATCAATATTTGATGATCAAACTTCCAAGGCACTAATGAATTGGCATAAGAATGCAAAAAAGAAGAGACCTACAAAGCCAGGACAAATCGAAACACGAAAATTAGGGAGTCCAGGGGAATCACCTGAAACTTCCCCTACAAAAGGTGGTCTCGGATCAAGAAGAAAATTGTCTCAAGTAGAGCCACTGTCCTCTGATCAGACAGCCAACATTGTTGCTAGCGTTGACATTCCAGAGGAAAAGCCTCCCTCGAACCCTGACCTACTTACAGGTCTTTGAATGACACAACAAGCAGAGATAACTCATGTCTCATAGAAAGGAAAAAAATGAAGAGTACATACATACATACATTGATGTTGAAATGCTAGAACCTGTGCTGGAGATTGGCTGTGTCATCCAGTTTCTCTGCATACTGTTGCAGAAAAACTAGCTCACTGTTCCAAATTCCAGATTGATGTTCAATTTTGTAAACTCCATTTGTACTATTATGTATGCTTGTGTAATGAAGGCTATAAAAACCATGTTACACTTAAAAAAGTGCCTAGGCATACACATTTTGAGTATTAAATCACTGTTTTACCAGCAATAAGGTCTCAGTGTACTTACTTACCTAATTCCACCAACTGCAAAATGGACCAAATTGATCTACAACTAATTCTCTCAACTATAAAACTAGGGCTATATAGTTAAATTTTTCTGTGATGAAACAATAGACAGTCCAATGGCAGCTTTCTATTCTAAGTAGAAAGAGCTTTTTGAATTTGAAAAAAAAAAAAAAAGCAGAACCAACATTGTTGATAATTCATATAAAGAGAAGACTTCATAATAGTCAATGTTGGCCTCTGCACTCAGGGAGATTCCGACAATCAAAATTTTGAAACTCAAATTTCACTTTATACGATCAATAAGTCTATTACAAGCGCAAAATGTTTCAAATTGATCGTAAACGAGCAAAAAGGGCACTCCAAAATGTGAGGGTCATTTGCACTTTTTCATTATTTTACACAAACTTAACAACCCAAAAAGGCCTATAGAAAGAAAACTAGCAAGGACAACACTCTAGAAAGTATGTCTTGGGAGTAAGGTCAATCTACAAAATCTTCCATTTGCGCTCCATGGCATTCGTGATCATTGATATGCAGTATGCAGAACTCAATGGATAATCTGAAACTGCATGATACATTAAGATGATTAGACAAGGTTCAGCTGCAGAAATAATGCCAAGACGATTTTTCATGTAGTGAAAACAGCATGGACCTAGTTGAGCATTTACATAGAATATACATGCATAGCGCCAATAACTTATCAGTATACCAAACTCTATTGGAAGAATTAGCTTACTTGATAAATAATCTTTATCAATTTTCCCATGAGCACATAGCCCCAACCTTCATATGTCAAATATCAAGTAAACTATAACTTCACACTAATATGTAATTGTCTATAGAAAATTACACTAGACCATACCACAAAGACAAGGTTCCTGTCATTGTTGACGCCACTAAGGTAGTCCTGAATATCCACCAGCTTCTCAGAACTATGAGAGAAGCCTGATGCATAAGCGAAGTGGGGTATTAGTCAATTGTCAAGAACATTTCATTATAGAAGGAAGGGACTAAAACAGAAAAACTGTTCACCTATCTTCCGACAGTCGATGGGTGGGTACTGTGTAACAGAGTTTTTTATAACACGCAACAGTTTTTTATAACACGTAACAGCGAGACCCCCGTCCTTTCTGTTGTAACGGGTCCGATTCAAGGCATTCAACAAATCTCCACCTTGACTTGAATTCTCCGAACAGATTCTTCAGACACTGTGATAGTGCCAGGCCTCCCCTCTTCCTCAGAATTGCCCCGCAGGGCAATTAATAGCTTCTGATGTTGAGCAAGTCCAAACAGTGTTGAAACTTGCTCTGTGGAACCGGCTTTGTGAACATATCAGCAGGATTATCAGCAGTTCCTACTTTCTTCACCTTGATTCTCTTCTCACTTCTCAGAAAATGATACCTTACGTCAATATGCTTGGTTCTCTCATGATGGACTTGATCCTTGGCTAGACAAATTGCGCTCAAACTGTCACAATACACCGTAGCCTGATCATGATGCAGACCAAGATCACTAACCAGCCCTTTCAGCCAAATCCCTTCTTTTGCAGCCTCTGTCAAGGCCATGTACTCCGCTTCCGTAGTAGACGAAGTCACTGTAGGTTGCAAAGTTGCCTTCCAACTGACGACAGATCCTCCAAGGGTAAACACATAGCCATTCATCGATCTTCTTGTGTCAACATCTCCAGCATAGTCAGAATCAGAATAGCCAGAAACCAAGCACTGAGTATCACCTCCATAAATGAGACCAACGTCAGATGTACCTCTAAGGTACCGGAAAATTCTCTTCACAGCCTGCCAATGCTCTTTCCCTGGTTGTCCCATGAATTTGCTCACTACACTGACTGCATGTGCTAAATCTGGCCTTGTCCAGACCATAGCATACATCAAACTTCCTACGGCACTGGCATAAGGGACTCGTGACATATACTCCTTCTCTTCTTCTGACTGTGGAGCGAACATGGCAGTGAGATGGATATTGGCAGCACTGGGGGTATCAATAGGCTTAGATGAAGACATGCCAAACCTCGCCAAGACCTTCTGAATGTAGCTTCTCTGTGACAAGAAAAGTTTCCTTCTCTCTCTGTCTCTAATGATCTCCATCCCTAGAATCTTCCGAGCGGCTCCCAGATCCTTCATCTCAAACTCAGCACTAAGTAAACCCTTCAGCTTCTGAATGTCATACTTCTTCTTTGCAGCTATCAGCATATCATCTACATAAAGCACCAGATAGATGAATGAATCATCCTTGAGCCTATTGTAGTAGACACAACAATCATATGAGCTCCGAGTATAGCCCAACTTCACCATATAGCTGTCAAACCTTTTGTACCACTGCCTTGGAGACTGCTTAAGTCCATATAAGGACTTTTTCAACTTGCAGACGTGATTTTCCTTCCCTGGAACTTGGAAACCATCCGGCTGAGTCATGTATATCTCTTCCTCCAACTCTCCATGTAGAAACGCTGTCTTCACATCAAGTTGTTCAAGCTCCAGATTCGGATGTGTAACTATCGCTAGTAACACTCGGATGGAAGTATGTCTGACCACTAGTGAGAAGATCTCATTGTAGTCCACTCCCTCTCTTTGGTTGAAACCTCTGGCAACAACCCTGTCTTTATACTTGACTCCTTCTGCTGGTGATATCCCTTCCTTCTTCTTGAAAACCCATTTGCAAGTAATAATCTTTCTCCCCGAAGGCTGTATGACCACATCCCATGTCTGATTCTTGTATAGGGACTCCATATCATCTCCCATAGCAGCAAACCATTTTTCAAAATCAGGACTTAAAATGGCTTCTTTGTAAGTAAACAGCTCGGATGTATCTACCTCTTCAGCAACCTGCAGTGCATAACCCACCATGTCCTTAAAACCATACCTCGTAGGTGGCCGAACTCCAACCCTCATTAGCCGATCTTGAGCTATACTCCGATGGATATCTGATGACATAGATTCTGGAATATCAGTTTCTGTATGTGGCTCTTGATCCTCCTCTTCAGGTTCTTTCAAATCGCTCTCGTTCTGAATGACTTGAAACTCCACCTGTTTATCAAGACTCCCAGTTTCTAACGTAGTTGTAGGCTTCACAATGGTTCTAAGCAGAGAACTTTCATCAAAGACAACGTTCCTGCTCATAATAACCCTCTTTTCTGCTGGAGACCGGATTCTGAAACCTTTCACTCCATCTCCGTAGCCCACAAATACTCCCTTTTTAGCTCTTGGTTCTAACTTACCTTCACTGACGTGATAGTAAGCCGTACAACCAAAAGCTTTCAGATTTGAATAATCAGCAGCTTTTCCTGACCACATCTCCATAGGTGTCTTGCACTGTATGCATGTATGTGGTTCGCGGTTAATCAAGTAGCAAGTTGTACTAACCGCTTCTGCCCAGAATCTTCTATCTAGCCCAGCATTAGAGAGCATGCACCTTGCTTTCTCCAGAAGTGTTTGATTCATTCGCTCAGCTACACCGTTCTGCTGTGGTGTATTTCTGACTGTACGATGTCGAGCAATCCCTTCATCCTTACAGAATTGATCAAATTCAGACCAGCAGAATTCCAGCCCATTATCAGTTCGCAACCTCTTGATCTTATTCCCTGTTTGATTTTCCATCAAAATTTCCACTCCTCGAACTTCTGGAAAGCTTCACTTTTATGCTTCATCATGTACACCCAAGTCATCCTTGAGTAGTCATCAATAATGGACACAAAAAATCTGCAGCCTCCCAAAGACTCAACACGGCATGGACCCCAGCAATCAGAATGGATGTAATCAAGTGTGCCTTTTGTTCTGTGAATGGCCTTTGGAAACTTGTTGCGATGTAGTTTTCCAAAGACACAATGTTCACAAAACTCTAGGCTCTTAACCTTATGACCAGCAAGAAAATCCTCTTTTGACAGAATTTGCATCCCTCTTTCACCCATATGACCAAGTCTCATGTGCCATAACTTAGTCATATCCTCCTGGTGAACTTGTGACGATGCAACATGGGCTGAACCTGTAACCGTAGAACCTTGTAGAAAATACAAAGTACCACGCATGACACCTTTCAGAATCAGATTTGAACCCTTCCAGACCCGCAAGACTCTATCTTTTCCCGACCAGCTGAATCCCTTGCTGTCCAAAAGATTGAGAGATATCAGATTTTTCGTCATCAATGGAACGTGCCTGACCTCGTTCAATGTGCAGAAGCTACCGTCATGTGTCCTTATCTTGATCGAGCCTGTCCCAACCACCTTGCAGACAGAACTATTGGCCATCGAGATGCTGCCTCCGTCTACCTGCTCATAAGTCGTTAACCACTCTCTCCTAGGACAGATGTGATAGGATGCCCCAGAATCGAGAACCCACACATCTGAATGATGACTGTGCTCATCCGCAACTAGGGCAATGTCTTCTTCAGAATTGGTGTCTTCTTCAGCAACAGCAGTAGAAACTGATTGTTTTTCCGATTGCTTCTTCTTCTTCGGACAATCAAATTTCCAATGTCCCTTATCCTTGTAGTAATTACAAACATCATCCGGCTTTGCACCCTTCGACATCGGCTTCTTTTTCTTTCCGCTGTTTTTCCTTCCCTTTCCGCTATTGGTGAACAGACCGGAAGACTGTATGTCCGTACTTGTGTCGTTAGCCTTATGCCATAATTCCCTGCTATGAAGGGCCGATCTGACTTCTTCCAGCGACACAGTATCTTTCCCAACAATGAACGATTGAACAAAATTCTCAAACGACATTGGGAGAGATACTAACAGAATCAGGGCAGCATCTTCATCCTCGATCTTCACATCGATATTACGCAATTCTAATAACAAAGTATTCAATTACTCTAAATGTTCCCTGAGTTGTGTACCTTCAGCCATTCGTAAACCGAATAGACGTTGTTTCAGAAGCAGCTTGTTGGTTAGAGATTTTGTCATGTACAAACTCTCCAGCTTCAACCATAGACCAGCAGTAGTCTCTTCATCCGAGACCTCCGTGATGACGTCATCCGCGAGACACAGTATGATCGTTGAGTGCGTCTTTTCCTCCAGAATCGCCATCTCAGGAGTAACGACGGCGTTCTTGTCTTTCGACAACGGCGCCCAGAAGCCTTGCTGTTTCAACAAAGCCCGCATCTTGATCTGCCATAAACTGAAACTGTTCCTCCCTGTGAATTTGTCGATTTTCACGTTCAAAGCAGACATCTCGAATTCTTCAAGAACACCGATTAACCGAGAGGCTCTGATACCAATTTGTTGTGCGAAATTCGAGATAATACGAGAAAATATAAACGCAAAAAATAAGACAACAGATTTACGTGGTTCACCAATAAATTGGCTACGTCCACGGGGAAGAGAGGGAGTTGTTCTATTATGGAGAGGCAAAAACAGAATTACAGAATAGGTTTTGTCATAGCGTCTATATATAGTGCTAAGCTACGCCCTAACAGGCTTGGGCCCAAAATACAGAATTGACAGATAATTAAGGGCCCAATACAACAACATTGTATACCGTCGGGCCGGGGGCATCTCCGCCCCCCCAGACCCCAGGGCAGGGGGCGCGTCGCCCCCCTGGACCCCCCAACTCGCTGACCGGGCAGCGAGACCCCCATCCTTTCTGTTGTAACGGGTCCGATTCAAGGCATTCAACAATACTATAGGAATAGGACTGGAGTTCCAAAGTCAACTAACCTGATGCGCAATATCAGGCCGATAATCAGAAGGGTTCCGACCATTCTTCTTCAGAAAGTTGGAGTGTTCATCAGAAAATTCAGAAGTTGGTACGTCTGCAGAGATTATTACACATAATAACTTCAACTTCTTTTATACATGGTGAAGGGAAGGAAGAGCATTCATTATATGCGATGCTAAAGATAATATTATAAGATGAGCTAGTGGGATGTTGGATGACGTCATATAATACTGATAAAGCTACAAGCTTCTTCTAAAGTAGACATTCTCAAAAGTAGATAATGAACAGAAATGACATTTGCAAAGATAGAGACAGACCTTTCCAATTTTAGCTTGAAAATAACACCAGGTTTATTGGTTTGATCAGTTGCAACAACAGGAATGCCAGATAGTAAATCTACAACTCTTTCAGCTGCCTCGGAGTTTCTGTCTTCACTCTTTTTGTTTGATTCCTCCTCAATTTCTTCTTCTTTATCATAAATTCTCTCCTTTCTTTTTTCTCTTCTCCCCTTTTATTTTGTATGCACATACCATTCTTGTCACAAGTACTTCAATAAAGCAAAAAGAT